GACGACGAGGACGACGACGACGACGATGACGTTCATCCTTCATCCTCATGCGGTTGAAGCTGATGGCGGTGCCGCCAGGGAAGGCTGGCGCCAGGGCCCCGCCCTCCCGAGCCTTCGCTGGTCGAGGGGAGGGCGGAAGGTCAGCTCTTGTGAGGCCAAGGCAACCGGAGAGAGTGCAGAGGAGGGGGGGGCGCCACCACGGCGGGACGACGCAGGACCACTGTGACATCAAACAGGATGAGAAGCGAGACCTCCTCCTCATCCTCCTCGTCCTCTGCACCCTCTCTGCCTGCGGTCGCTGCCTCGTCGTCCGCCTCCCACATTTCTCTCTGTCTGTCTGACTCTCTCTCTCTCTCTGGCTCTCGCTCTCCCTCTGGGTCGCCCTGCGTGGTGGCTCAGGCACTGGCGCGAGCATCACAGGACTCCTGGCGAAAGTGCTGGTGCTGCGAGCGCCGAGGCCGAGTGCATCTTGGGTGTAGCACAGGGGGAGGTGGGATCCAGAGGCATATCATCTAAGAACTCTGGGCCAGCTTCGCGGAGATTTCTCGAAAGAAGCCTGGGCCAATGTTTGGTGTTTACGCTGGAGGGACGGGCGTGCTGAAGAGACTGGGCCAGCTTTGCGGCAGGCTGCGTAGGAAACGCTGGTCCAGCTTTTCGGGAAGAGGTTTCAGAATCAGATGCTCGACTGTACGCAGTGAAGCAGAGCGCCGCACACGGTGGCGGCCGAGACGCATGAGGGGCGGGCGACCGTTAGAAGGTGTGGTGGGGCAGCTTGGCGCAACACATAGAGATCGTCTTACTGACGTGTTACTCAACTGGCAAGATCATTCAACAGACCCTCCTCGCGGTCCGCGTCGCCCTGCTCCCTTTCGCGGCCTCCCGCCTGCTCCTTTTCCAGCTCCTCCCGCTCCCTGCCACCCTGTGTCAGTCGTGCAACTCGCCGCGATCTGAGCTCGTCGCGCGCCAATGGCCAATTGATTCGTGACCCATCATGCGCCGTCCTTCTAGGAGGGTCCCTGTCAGTCCAACGTGCTGTCGAGCCGAAGTCCAGTCATCAAATCGGTGGTCCGCCACCATGCCCCTGGCACGTTGAGGCGTGGCATAATGCCAAGTGCTGCCTGGCAAATGTTCTGTAGACTCCCACAAACAGAAAGCTGATGGTAAAGATGCGCGATATGCGATATGGCTGCAAGCACATTGGACGCCCGTGTTGAAGCTTTCTCGAGCGCGGCGGTCCATCGAAAGTACTCGAGGATGGGCCAAAAAGGCACGGATGCAAGGGTACCCGTGGGAAGGTCACCCACCCTTACCATCGGTTGCGACTGTAATGGGACGCACAAAAACATACTAGTACTATCTGCTCTCCGTGGAGGCGCGCGTCCGACCCGAACATATAGTGCATCCATCTTGTAGTATGTCGTTTCCCGAGCGGTGCGGCCAGAAAGCGCCCACCACGACGCATACACTACAAGATTTCTCGGTGCGCGCGTCGCCCCTGGGGGGGCGACCCATACACAACATTAGTAGGTTGGGGTGACGCCGATGTTCGGAAGCCGGGCAAAAGCTGCTAAATCCGTGGCTGCTAAAATCGACCTCCGGGAAGTTGTCTTCGTCCTTCCGGGAAGAAGCCCGTTGACTGCTTCGCGTGCCGCGCCTCATTCCGGGAAGTTGTTTTTTCCTTCCGCGAGGGCCGTTTTAGCAGCCACGATTTTAGCAGCCCTCGCCCAGCTTTCGAGATGTGATCTTCGAAGAACCCCCCCCAATCATGCTTCCCTGCGTGCAGCGCACTCCCCCTCCGCGGGGCCCTGGCAAGCCCGACGCCACTCTGGCATCTCCAGGCCACCCCCCCAGCTGCCCAAGGTGTCGTCCGAGACGGCCAAATGTGACCCCAGGGCCGCCTAAGAGGTCCTCAGGACGGCCCAAGAGGCCACCAAGACGGCCAACGAGGGCCACGGTAGGACCCCCTGCAGGGCTCGAAGATGCAAACATCGTTGACGGCCCTTCAATGTTTCAAACGTTTGCGCGGGCTTCGCCTTTGCGGCGTCCTGCAGCTCAAGAAGCATCCTCCAAGATAGCCCCAAGACGGCCCAATCAAGACATAGAATAGCCCAACAAGCCTCCAACACGGCCTGAAGGCGACCCAACAGAGCCCCTAGACGGTCCAGGACTGCCCCGAGAGAGCCCCAAGCTGGCCCAAGAGGGCATCTGGAGGACCCAAGGTGGTCTCAGAGGGACTCTCAACGGCCCAAGATGTCTCCAACACGGCCCCGGGGGACCTCATCGACGGCCAAGAAGGCCTGAATAAGGCTCGAGAGAAAGGCCCAAGACGGCACAGTAGGGCCCCGAGGGTTCTCCAAGACGGCCCAGACCTCAGCTCCCCGAGGCCTCTCACGACAAGGATATGACTGGTGCCACATGTGGCGGCCTTCAGTGCTCGAAGCTTTGCCGCCCGGCGGGCTGAGCTGGCACAGCGGCGGGACTTGCCGCGGGCACATGGATCTCAGTAGCCTTCGGTCGGGCATGTCCTCCTACAGGCGGACTTGAAGAACAAATCCAGCATAGACAAAATACTTCTTGTACAATAATAAAATCACGAACAGTAGTCAACGTACGATTGATGGACTATTCTTGAATATTCTCCCTGTAGAGTCAGGACGGGCATACCCCCCTAAAGGCGGATGCTGGACGGCATATGCAAAATACTCTTAAACTGAAGAACCAAAACAAACATCCCCATATGATTGCTTGACTATATCCCAACGATCATGTGGTGTTTGGTCCTCGTTTTGAAGAGACGGCCCCCGCGCACATCAAATTTGACATTGTCACCCACCCAGTACAGCGTTTCGTGGCCCCATAAGGAGCTACACCGAACGCCCAAGTGCCACCGTCCGCATGCGTCCCGAAACATCAAATTTGGCATTTTCGCCCACCCAATGCAACGTTTCGGGGCCCCGTAGGGAGCTACACCGAAGGCCCCAGTGCCACCGTCCGCATGCGTCCAATGTGGTTTTTCACCCACCCAGTTCTGCGTTTCGTGGCCCCTAAAGAAGCCCCGACGAAGGCCCAAGTGACACCGCCCGCATGCACCCCGAAACATCCAATGTGACATTTTCACCCACCCAATTACTCCGCTTCGTGGCCCCATCGGGAGCTCCACCGAAGGCCCCAGTGCCACCGTCCGCATGTGCCCCGAAACATCAAATTTGGCACTTTCACCCACCCAGTAGAGCGTTTCGTGGCCTCATACGGAGCTCCACCGAAAGCTCCAGTGCCACCGTCCGCACGCGTCCCGAAACATCGAATTTTGCATTTTCACCCGCCCAATACTCCACTTCGTGGCCCCACAAGGAGCTCCACCGAAGGCCCCCATGCCACCGTCAGCATGCACCCGAAAAATTCCATTTGACATTTTCACTCACCCAATACAGCGTGTCGTGGCCCCATGGGAAGCTCCACCGAATGCCCCAAAGCCACCGTCCGCATGCGCCCCGAAACATCAATTTTGGCATTTTCACTCACCAAGTACTGTTTCGTGGCCCAATACGGAGCTCCACCGAAGGCCCCAGGATCACCGTCCGGATGCGTCAAGAATCATCCAATTCGGCATTTTCACCCACCCAGTACAACGATTCGTGGCCCCATAGGGAGCTACACCGAAGGCCCCAGTGACACCGGCCGCATGCGCCCCGAAACATCCAATTTTGCATTTTCACCCACACAATACTGCGTTTCGTGGCCCCACAAGGAGCTCCACCGAAGGTCCCAGCGCTACCGCTCGCATGCGCCCCCCTCACCCGGTACAGCGCTTCGTGGCCCCATACCGACGGACCCAGTGCCACCGCCCGCTTGCGTCCCCCCCACCCAGTACAGCGTGCCGTGGTGCCATAGGGAGCTACACCGAAGGTTCCAGGTCTACCGCCGGCATGCGTCCCCCCCACCCAATACAACGCTTCGTGGCCCCATAGGGAGCTCCACCGACGGCCCCAGTGCTACCGCCCGCATGCGTTCCCCCCCACCCAGTGCAGCGCCTCGTGGCCCCATAGGGAGCTTCACCGAAGAACTAAATCACAACTGCGGTACCAACAACTGCAGATGGTTGGGTACTTCGCCGGAATAATTTAGAATATTCCTCCTGTAGAGAGACACGCCCGACTAAATTTACTGCAGAGGGACATGCCCGACTGAACAGTAGCCCTCATAAGGGGACGTCACCGCGGTTCGGCCCCAACTGCGCCCAGAGTCACAAGGACCGCCCGAGGAGAAACCCCAAGGAAGGACGCACAGGAGCCCTGAGAACCTTCCACAACGAGGAGGAGGAGCAGGAGGAGAAGGAGCAGGAGGAGGAGGAGCAGGAGGAGGAGGAGGAGGAGGAGGAGGAGGAGGAGGAATGAGCGGCCCTCGTCCGGACGATGTGGCTGTGCCCCCCGCCCTGCCCCACAGCGCGAGGGCGGCGCGCGCCTTGAACTCGCGAAGAGGTTCGTGGGACCTGCCCCATCGACCCACGGCGGCCCACTCCCGTCTCCCCTCTCCTGCCTCGCCTCGGCGCGCTCGCGGCGTGACCGGCAGGGTCGTGAGGAGGGCAGGTTTGGGCGTCGCGGACGGAGCCAACTCTGCGGCGGGCGCGCCCGGGATCCTTGTGCTTTTCGAGTGGCACCTCCTGCGCCTGGCACCCGCGCCGTGCTTCCGCCGACCGGCCGCGCTCGGCCATCGCCCTCACCCAATGCGGCCCCCTCCTGCTCCTGGATCAGGGACGTCCCAGCGGGCCCGAGAACGGGAGCCGGGAGAGCCTCAAAGAGGCCCCTTCGAGTCCAGAGCTTCCCGACGAAACTGCACATGCCCCAGGAGAGGCCAAGCTGGCTTGTTTCTTGGGTTCGCGAGCTGGAGTGACGTGGCGGCTGCATGTCGGGCAAGTTGCTTCTCTCTCTCTCTCTCTCTCCCTGTCTCTGACCATCGGGTCCTCTGGACAGCCGAACGACCAAGAGTTGGATGCGAGACATCCTGTTTTATGTGGAGGGCTCGACGCACATGGGTGGGCCAATTGCATTCGTGCTGGCATCAAGACTTTGCAATGGCAAGCTTTCGCAACCACTCTGGAGATGGCCCATCGCCCAAAAACGCAATCAGCGCGCTCGGGCTGCCCAAATGCTCGCGCACTTCGGGGAGCGTCTCCCCGTCCGCGACCTCGGCGAAAATATTCCCCCTAACAACCAGGCTCTCCCAGCGCAGGTGGTCCTGCAGGAGGGTAAACGGCTGCCAGGCCAACGTGCCCCCTTGGCACTCCGCGAGGTAACGAAGCACACAATCGCGGTCCTTCCCGCAGATGTCGCGGAAGCGCTCCTGCCTTCGGAGGACCAAAAGATACCGCCAACGCCACTCCCCAAACCTCCCGCGGGGTACGTTCTGATCGGGATTCCGAGGCGAATCCAACGGTGGCGACCGTGAACCCCTCCAGAACGCCCGAAAAGGCGAAAACGAAGCGCTGGTATTGGTGCACCAGGAAGCTGGAAGCACGCATTGCTGTATTCACGTGGGGGACGTCTGGAAGCCACGCTCGGGGTACACATGAGAACATCCAGCGTACATGGCCATAGAAGGACCGAGCGCCAGAAAGCACCTGGACACATGTACATCCAGCTCTCGCCAAGGCTGGCCAAGTCATGTGCACCAGCTTCCAGGTATGTATGTATGTATGCATGCATGTATGTATGTATGTATGTATGTAGGTATATATGTATGTATGTATGTCTGAAGATATGTGTGTATGCACGTATGTATGGATGTATGTGTGTAGATGCATGTATAAACGAATGCCTACATGAATGAATTACTGCACACCTATCTATATGTATATAAACATAGAATGGTTCGTCAGTCTGGACCCCAAATAATGTCTAGTAACATGTGGTGTGTACAATATATAGAACAACGTATATTGTACAATGCAGGCGGTGCAAAACCTGGTGTGCAATATATATATATAAATATGTAAATATAATGCTACATCTGCGGTGCTATGTGTATAAGCATAGATGTTTGCACATGTGCATATATACACAAACATGTATGTACAGATGTATACATGGCGCATTCGCTGTGCTGCAATCTAGCCAGTGCAATATACGCGGTGCTCAACTTCTGCGAATAAACACCGTTTGGGAGACGTATATGTTATATATATATATATATATGGTAGCCCCCCCCACGGGGACCCCATCATCACAACTGCAAGCCCGAGAGCTTTAAACGAAGAAGTTCGTTCACATGTTGATGTAGATGTTGATCATATGCTATTGCAGAAACGTTTGCTAAAAACAGTAGGAAAACCCTACAATCAAAAACAAGAATAACCCATACAATCAAGAATAATAAGAACGAGTACAATCAAAAGACGATAAGGAATATTACAATGGAAAACAACAAGGAAACCTTACAATGGAAAACAATCAGAAAACCTTACAAGGGAAAACCACCAGAAACCTTACCATGGAAACCAATACGAAAACCCCTTACACTGGAAACCACTAAGAAAACCTTACACTGGAAACCAATACGAAAACGTCTTGGGTACCCGAAACGCTGGCAGGGACTGAAACAACCAAAAAGAAAACACGCACCAAAAAACGCTGGCAGGGACTGAACACAACAAAAATCAAAGGTTTCGGGCCCTCCGCCGAGATCCGCCCAACAATGGGAAACAATAAGAGAAACCTTACGCTGGAAAACAATAAGAACATCTTACAATGGAAACCAATAAGAAAACCTTACAATGGAAAACACATAGAAAGCCGTACAATGGAAAACAATAAGAACACCTTACAATGAAAAATAATAAGAAAACCTTGCAATGGAAAACAATATGAAAAACCTTACAATGGAAAACAATCAGAAAAACCTCACAATGGAAACCAATAAGAAAACGTCTTGGGTACACGAAACGCTGGCAGGGACTGAAACACACCCCAAAAAAAACCACAAAAAACGCTGGCAGGGACTCAAAAAAACCAAACATCAAAGGTTTCGACCCTCCGCCGAGATCCGCCCAACAATGGAAAACAATCAGAATCCTTACAATGGGAAGCAATAGGAAAACCGTACAATGGAAAACAACAAGAAAACCGTACAATGGAAAACAATAAAGAAACCTTACAATGGAAACCAATAAGAAAACCTTTCAATGGAAAACAATCAGAAAACCTTACACTGGAAAACAATAAGACAACGTCTTGGGTACACGAAGCGCTGGCAGGGACTGAAAAAAAACAAAAAAAAATAAAACAGAAAAAAAAACGCTGGCGGGGACAGAACAAAAACAAAAATCAAAGGTTCCGGGCGGAACAGGACGGGAAATGAAATCCATACTGGGCCCCCTCCGCCGAGATCCGCCCGAAACCTTCGATGTTTTTTGTTCAGTCCATGCCAGCGATTTTTTTTCTTGTTTTTCTTTTGTTTTTTCGGTCCCTGCCAGCGCTTCGTGTACCCAAGACGTTGTCTTATTGTTTTCCAGTGTGAGGTTTTCGTATTGTTTTCCATTGTAAGGTTTTCTCATTGTTTTCCATTGTAAGTTGTTATCATTGTTTTCTTGCGTGAAGTATTATTATTGTTTTCCAGTGTAAGGTTTTCTTATTGGTTTCAATTGTAAGGTTGTCTTATTGTTTTCTGTTGTAAGGGTTCTGATTGTTTTCCATTGTTGGGTCCTCTTCGGCACATCACCCCTCCGAAACCTCGTGGCCCCATAGGGAGCTCCACCGAAGGCCCGAGGGCTGCCGCCCGCATGCGTCCCGCACACCCATTTCGGCACACCCCTCACACGTTTCGTGGCCCCATAGGGAGCTCCACCGAAGGCCCCATGGCTGCCGTCCGCATGCGTCCCGCACACCCATTTCGGCACACCCCTCACACGTTTCGTGGCCCCACAGGGAGCTCCACCGAAGGCCCCAGTGCTGCCGTCCGCATGCGTCCCGCACACCCATTTCGGCACACCCCTCACACGTTTCGTGGCCCCATAGGGAGCTCCACCGAAGGCCCCATGGCTGCCGTCCGCATGCGTCCCGCACACCCATTTCGGCACACCCCTCACACGTTTCGTGGCCCCACAGGGAGCTCCACCGAAGGCCCCATGGCTGCCGTCCGCATGCGTCCCGCACACCCATTTCGGCACACCCCTCACACGTTTCGTGGCCCCACAGGGAGCTCCACCGAAGGCCCCAGTGCTGCCGTCCGCATGCGTCCCGCACACCCATTTCGGCACACCCCTCACACGTTTCGTGGCCCCACAGGGAGCTCCACCGAAGGCCCCAGTGCTGCCGTCCGCATGCGTCCCGCACACCCATTTCGGCACACCCCTCACACGTTTCGTGGCCCCACAGGGAGCTCCACCGAAGGCCCCATGCTGCCGTCCGCATGCGTCCCGCACACCCATTTCGGCACACCCCTCACACGTTTCGTGGCCCCATAGGGAGCTCCACCGAAGGCCCCATGGCTGCCGTCCGCATGCGTCCCGCACACCCATTTCGGCACACCCCTCACACGTTTCGTGGCCCCACAGGGAGCTCCACCGAAGGCCCCAGTGCTGCCGTCCGCATGCGTCCCGCACACCATTTCGGCACACCCCTCACACGTTTCGTGGCCCCATAGGGAGCTCCACCGAAGGCCCCATGGCTGCCGTCCGCATGCGTCCCGCACACCCATTTCGGCACACCCCTCACACGTTTCGTGGCCCCACAGGGAGCTCCACCGAAGGCCCCAGTGCTGCCGTCCGCATGCGTCCCGCACACCCATTTCGGCACACCCCTCACACGTTTCGTGGCCCCATAGGGAGCTCCACCGAAGGCCCCAGTGGCTGCCGTCCGCATGCGTCCCGCACACCCATTTCGGCACACCCCTCACACGTTTCGTGGCCCCACAGGGAGCTCCACCGAAGGCCCCAGTGCTGCCGTCCGCATGCGTCCCGCACACCCATTTCGGCACACCCCTCACACGTTTCGTGGCCCCAGCTCCCACAGGGAGCTCCACCGCCCCAGTGCTGCCGTCCGCATGCGTCCCGCACACCCATTTCGGCACACCCCTCACACGTTTCGTGGCCCCATAGGGAGCTCCACCGAAGGCCCCATGGCTGCCGTCCGCATGCGTCCCGCACACCCATTTCGGCACACCCCTCACACGTTTCGTGGCCCCACAGGGAGCTCCACCGAAGGCCCCAGTCCGCATGCGTCCCGCACACCCATTTCGGCACACCCCTCACACGTTTCGTGGCCCCATAGGGAGCTCCACCGAAGGCCCCATGGCTGCCGTCCGCATGCGTCCCGCACACCCATTTCGGCACACCCCTCACACGTTTCGTGGCCCCACAGGGAGCTCCACCGAAGGCCCCAGTGCTGCCGTCCGCATGCGTCCCGCACACCCATTTCGGCACACCCCTCACACGTTTCGTGGCCCCATAGGGAGCTCCACCGAAGGCCCCATGGCTGCCGTCCGCATGCGTCCCGCACACCCATTTCGGCACACCCCTCACACGTTTCGTGGCCCCACAGGGAGCTCCACCGAAGGCCCCAGTGCTGCCGTCCGCATGCGTCCCGCACACCAGGTGTGTGGCGTGCCGACATGGGCGTCGCGGCGCGCGGGCGCTGCCGTCGGGGTTCCCAGGGAAGCCCCCTGCAGAGGCGACGCTCAGAGTCACGAGTACCGAGAGTCACGCAGACCCAAACTGTTCACAGTCGTATACATACATTTACACTGGGCGTATCCATGCACGCATTCATGCGAATAGAATCAATCGCGCGCAGATTCATTCATAATCAGACTCGCTCGCGATCCGACTCGCACGCGCTCAAGCTTTCATATTCGGACCTATCGTTTTCGTTCGTGTTGTGTACACTGCCACGCATTTCGGCACACCCCTCATACGGCTCGTGGCCCCATAGGGAGCGCCACCGAAGAAGATATTCACAATTGCGGTACTCTCAACTGCATATGGTTGGGTCCTTCGCCAGGCTAATTTTTTCAGTCCGTGCGAGCGTTTCGTGTACCCAAGACGTTTTCTTATTGCTTTCCATTGTAAGGTTTTCCTATTGTTTTCCAGTGTAAGCTGTTCTTATTGTTTTCCTTTGTAAGGCTTTCTGGTTGTTTTCCATTGTGAAGTCTTCTTATTGTTTTCCAGTGTAAGGTTTTCTTCTTGTTTTCCATTGTAAGGTTTTCTTATTGTGTTCATGTGTAAGGCTTTCTGGTTGTTTTCCATTGTAAGTTTTTCTGATCCATTGTGAAGTTTTCTGATTGGTTTCCAGTGTAAGGTTTTCTTGTTGCTTTCCAGTGTAAGGTTTTCTGACTGTTTTCCATTGTAAGGTT